GCTGTGGGCCGGGCCCCGGGCCACAAAACTGGCTCAGGTCACCATCTGTAGTTGGGCCCCAGCTGCTTTTGGAGCTGGGCCGCTGGGTTTTAAAGTTCCCGGCGTTTCCCTTCTCACCTGTTGCACGGCGTTTAAGGATGCCGCGCATGCGCTCTCTCTGCCCCACAGTGCCCAGTAGATGGCTGTGGGGAATTTGAAGTGAGGGGCTGTGGCACTGTCACAAATCCTCCTCTTCCTCCAGCAGCTGCTGGCTGGCCCAGACATTAGGGTGTGCCTGGGCACACCTGGCACACCCCGTGCGCACGCCTATGCTCTAATTGATGTCTCTGTCAGATCCATATGCTCCTCCACACCAGTCAGCTTTCCCCCACCTTAGTTAAAAAACTGTGCTACAACCTTTTTAATGTTAAGTGCCAGCAGTCTGGTTCCATTTTGGTTTAGCTGGAGCCCATCCTTCCTGTATAGGTTCCCCCATCCCAAAAGTTTCCTCAGTTCCTAATAAATCTAAACCCCTCCTCTCTTCACCATTGTCTCATCCATGCATTGAGATTTTGAAGCGCTGCCTGCCTACCTGGCCCTGCGCATGGAACTGGAAGCATTTCCGAGAAAACTACCATAGAGGTTCTGGATTTCAATCTCTTTCCTAGCAGCTCCTTGCACTGAATGCACATATATGTCACCCGCCCATAGGGCAGGTAATCATACATGCTACATTTGCACAAGTAAGCAATATTTTCTTTTGGCTTTCTTCCACGCGGAATCACACACACACCTGCCCTTACAACTCCTCGATTTACCATGACAAACAAAAGAAAGCTCAAAGTAGAACACTTTCCTCCCCCAAAATGTTTTCCTTGGTTCATCCTGAAGCCAGGAAAACCTGTGCTTTGTACAGTTTCACCCAAATGCCACTCAAAACTGGGTCTAGGTCCCCTCAAAGTCTCCCTATGTCAATAAAAAAGACTCTCATTGACTGCAATAAGCTCTGGATCAGGTGCAAACCTTTCAAAGGCAGGTTTTGAATTTGTAACAAATCCCCAGGGTCATATGTCTCATTTGATTTTGCTTTTCATTGTGCGCAGAGCAAACAGCTCCACTAGAAAGCTACCGACTCTTGGTAACCATCCAAACTTCCTGATAGCTGATCCAGAAAATTACAGTTATTTAAAGGGACTATTTAGGAGTGACTCTTTCAATGTGACACATTGCTGGAGATTGTTCATATGACCATGCCAAACTATTCATAGATCTCTCAGTTATTTCACTCACTGGTGGGAGCAGTGACCTATCTGCTGCAGTTGTCCCTTGTGTCTAATTGCAATGTGAAGCAGGATAAGTGTGCCTGCAATTGTTCCTTCACCTTTCCTGTAAATAAGATGATGTCAAAGTGTGATCATGCTAGGTCAACCATTGGGTTGTCCAAAGCAAACTGGAGCATCTCTGTCCTGCTGTGTATAATTAATAGAAAACCAAGACTGGTGACAACCCATCTAGGGCCAGTTTTAAGGGCTTGCATTCAATAAAATTAATGAGTGAGATCCCGCTGATACAGGATTAGGGCCTAAATGGAGAGTCTGCTCTTACCCACATGAGAGGTAGCTGTAAGTGCAATCTCAAAGGTTGTTCTGGTGTGGGAGTTTGTATGTATGTCCATGAACCAGCAAATCCCAACTATATATGGTGAGTGGGAGATTGTTTTGGTTTTAGTGCTCTTGGCTCCAGATGAAGCAGTGGGAAAGAACATGGGCTTTGTGGTTCACTTCCTCTGCTCCATAATGAAGGGAGACATAGAATATGGGAGAAGAGGCTTTTCCCCCATAAGGGAGAAGACCTGGAGGCCCTGAAGCAGCACGAACTGTGTTCCCAGAACCATAAGCAGAATCTGGGGCATCAGGCCTCTTGCAAACGTCTCTTCATGTTTTAAGGAGAAAAACAGATCATCAGGGTAAGATATGGAGGTCAAGGAAACGGGCTATTCTCCAGCTCTGTATTTCCTTCTTGGTCAGCCTCTGCTTACTGCATTCATCTTGGGTAGCATTTCCAGTGCCTGGAGTCTGGGACACATGCAACCACAGAAGAGACATTGACTAATCTAGAGGAAGTTGAAACAGGGCCATTGTAGATGAGGAGAGCTGAGTGTGTGTGTGTGGGGGGGAGCATGGGGCAGATAAAAATACAAAGCAGATTGCGGATGCAACCAAACTGTCTTGGGTCTGCGATACCAGAGACTCGTTTGTTGGACACTGCTGTCAGAGACTCAGTCAGGTGTGAACAGCCAGAGAATGTGAAGAGGGCTCCCCCGTCACTGTGCCTCAAGGAGTCACAATTGAGAATACCAAATTCAGGACAAGCTACTGGGGAAAAGGGAAGATACACCCCAAACTGCTGGTTATTCTTCCATAAGATCTACCAAACCAACAGTAAGTTTCACCACACTGGCTAACAAGAAGTCAGAAATGCAGTCTCCTTAGGTATTCTAGTCCTTGCACCACTACCAACAACTATGATCTTAATGAGTAGTTATTTAAAACCAATTTAATCAAACAAAAAGGTTCTTCTGATCCCAAAGGACTGGTCACATATCTAAGTGATATATTGACCTGGGTCTAACCCAGTAATCATGCTGTTGCCAATCCCTTATCTAATATCTAAAGATTTATTTATAAATAAGAAAAGTGAAAGATAAAATTTTCCTAAAAGAATCAAGTACATTCAGTAGTTGCAAAGTTCTTGGATCGGGCTTGTAGCAGTGATGGAATTAACTGCTGTCTTGTTAAGTCTCTGATTGCTTCCAAATCACTGGAAGGCCCTTAGTCCATTGCTCAGAATGTTCCCATTAGTGTAAATCCATACCCCAAAGGATTAAGTAGAAAAGAGGCAAAAGGGAGTAATTTCCAAAGTGTTTTTTTTTATAGCTTCTGCCAAGTGGAGGAAATCCCATTTCTTCACTGTGGAAAATTACAGGAACAAGATGGTGTTTGGAGTCACGTGGGCAAGTCAAATATTCATGTATCCTTTGCTTAGTGTTAGTAGAAGCCATCACTGGAAAGTTCATTAAATGTAGATAGGTGTCTCCCAGGGTCTATTGTGAGTTTTTGTTCTTTGGTGAGCCATTTAACTTAAATAGTCCCTTTAAGGTGTGCAGGCTAAATATCTTGTAGATGTTACCAAAGAAGCAAACATTTGAAATTCAGGTATTGAGCCAAAAACGATCCATGCATACAAATAATCATTCAGCAAATCACAGCTTCTCTCTAGACACTTAAATAGACATTTTATATAAGAATCGTTGCAATTATATAACAGTGGTAGCACCAATGATCTACCTAGTCATATTTTAATCAGCTAACATCAAACATTCCCCTCCCAGCCATGAAAAAGGATAGTAGTAAACGCTCCCCTTCCTCTTCCATCCTCCTTTTCCTTTCTAAGGTCATTATGAAATCAATAATGTAACTATAGGTTTAAGTACACTTTGAAAAAAGTTCCTTTCCCACCACTAAGTGGTGCTAATAGCACTGAGCACAGTTGCAAGGGGCGGTATGGATCTGTTGTGGCTCAGATGTTATCTCCAAGAACAAGGCTCCCTTGGCTCCCAGTCTTTCCAAAAAGGCATTTCTTGGTGGGTTACAGTAGCTTAGGGTTGTCATTCGACCTGAGGCTGGAAAACATCCCCACGTGTTTGACCAGATTGGGCTCCACCACGTAGGCCCTCTCACCCTTGGTGCGCAGCAGCGAGTAGAGTGCAGTGTCCTTGGCAAAGCCCCGACGGCACTGCAGCCCCTGAAGGTAACCTAAGACACGGCGGGCTGAAGGCGCAGAGAACAGCATGGCAGGCATGCAGCACTCGGTGACTGGCACCACGTTGTAGAGTTCGGGGGCTAGCCGGCGCAGTTCCAGCAAGTAGTGGCGCCCCACCAGCTCTGCTAGTCCCATGCTGTATAAGGCAAAGAAAAGGACAATGGGCCAGGTAAGTCTTGGGCGGCCCGACGCCCAGGAGTACACAATGCTCAGCAGGGGGCCCAGAAACATGCCCAGGCCAAGCCACTCCAGGATCCTCATGGGCTCTGGGTTGATATAATGCTGAAGCCGCTCAGGGTGGTACAGCTTCAAGTAGAGGGCATCTTTGAGGTGTGGCTTGGAGAGCCGTGCCAGCAGCAGGTGATGCAGGACAGGGAATAGCTCCTCCTCGGGAACAGCATCATCTTCCACCACAAGGAGGTACTCTGGATTGTAGGCCAACAGCGACTGCTCCAAGCAGAAGGCATAATCCCGCTTCTCCTTCTCAAACTGATTCACAGAGGTGTCAGGATCCTCCCAGTTTTTGTAGCGGCTGACCATTGCAAAGTGGGTGCCCAGCAGTGTGGCGTCCTGGTAGCTGCCTGGGTCCTGCTCTACATTACAGAGAAAGATCTGGTAGTTCTGGCAGTGAGGGCCACACTGCTGGAGGAGGCGATGGAAGCGGGAAGCCACCTGCAGGACGTAGTGGAATTCTTTCCGCCTCTGCACAGTGACAATGGTGACGAGTAGCCATGGTCTGATGGGCATGCCAGCTGAGAGCTTCGAGGAGTTAGGAGTCTGCAGGTCCTCAAAGTAACGGAGGGCAGCCTGGCCTTCCTCCTGGTTCTGCTTCATGAACTCCTGACTCATGGGATCCAGATGCCAGCGTCGTAAGTAAAAATAGGAGTGGAGGAGCCGGTGGCAAATCAAAGGAGCCAACACGCCAAACGTTACCACAGTCAAAATAAGGAGCTGAGTAATGGGGCTGGAGAAACGGCACCACTTCCTGTAGAGCCGCAGTCCTTGCAGGAACATGGCAGCTGGATACAGGGTGTGGTCCCTGTGTAGTCATGCCCCAATTCATTCGCTCCTCTGTCTACTTTGGGTGGCAAGTCATTAGTGGTGCATCATGAGAGAGGCTCAACCAATGCTCCTAACCTAGAAGGAAAGAAAGAAACATTTAAAAATAAGCACAAATCCAGTAGTATCAAAGGAAGAACTTCCAGACCTAACAATCTGGTGAGAACAAAAATCTGTGATGAGCTCATAGGGAAACGAGTACCATGCCCCTGAAGCAGTGGTGGGAAAAGATCCCTGGGCATCGTGCCAGGGACAGGATAAGAAATCATAAGGTGACTTACAAAGGAGTCCATCCTGATTTGTTGAGCTCACTGGGGCTACTATATTACCACAGAGTCATTACATTGCTGGGGACTCTGATCTTCTTAGTATTATTCTTGTGGAAGCACATACAGACCCAAATTGAGATGGGAACAGACCCCAATGGATATGCACCCAGGTCTGCCGCAAAGAACTTGCAATCTACTTAGACAACTCAGACTCACTGGAAGAAAGCATTATTAACCCTGTTGTCTAGATGAGGAACGGGGCACAGAGAAATCACAGGATTTGGTGGTCAAGGTCAAATAGTAAGTGGGTGGCAGAGCCAAGATCTCAACCCAAATCATCAGAGTCCCCGTCCAGTGCCATAACCTGAGGACCATCTTCCTAACCAGAGAGAGATGTACTTCTATAGCTTGCCATTTCACAATTGTGTACACCTGTTTATTGGTTGCTTCTCTAGGGGGTGCTGTGCGACTTAATACATTTATGAAGGCTGATGGCAGTAAACTTAAATCTGAATCAGGCTCAGGCACAGAACCACAAATCGCCCCCTCCCCCTGTTAAATAAAGCAATTCTGTTCCTCTACCCTCAATTTCCTCCTCCTTTCTGAGCATATTAAAGAGGCAGATCAGGCCTCTCACACAATGTCTACACTACAGCTCTTACAGTCATACTGCTGCAGCTGCACCACCGTAAGGTCTCCTGTGTCGCTGCTCTGTGCTGGCATTAGAGAACTCTCCAATTGACATAATTAAGCCCCCCACTGAGCAGCGGTAGCTGTCGGCAGGAGAGCATCTTCCACCAACATAGCATTGTCAGTGGATTTTTGTCAGTGAAACTTATATCATTCTGGAGGGGTGGGGGAGTTTTTTCACACCCCTGACAAAAATGTAGGAAAGCCTTGGTATAATTAGGAGCAAGTGGATAAATCTTCTGATTGAGCCATTAACTGAAATTTAGATTTAGAAGTTTTCATTTAACATTTGAATTCTAAGCTACACGAATCAACCCCCTCCAACTTTCAAAAAATTAGGGTTGGCCATATTCTTCTATTCTGCCCCACTCTTCTGGGTTGCCACTAGCCTACTCCTTTAACAATCTCATTGCACATTGTTCACACAAAGTTAGCACACAGAGCAGTAATTTTCCTTTCTAATTGTTTTTTTGACACTTCTTTACACTTTCCTTGTTTCCTTTAACTGGCTTTCCTTCTTGCATATTCATTTCTTCAGCTCTGTCTATACTACCAAGTTTTGTCATCAAAAACTGTCTTTTGATAACATAAGTGAGAATATGTCTACACTGGTGGGTTCTTGCGCCAGAAATATGCAACATAAGTGAGGCTATGTCTACACTGGCGGGTTCTTGCGCCAGAAATATGCAAATGAGGCTAACTGTGGAATATCAGAGTCTCATTTGCATATCTAATGAGCCGCCATTTTGCGGAAGAGGCTCTTACACCAGAAGGAGCTGTCTACACTGCCCCTTCTTGTGCAAGAAAAACCCTCTTGCGCAAAAAGGGGCAGTGTATACAGCTCCTTTTGGTGTAAGAGCCTCTTCCGCAAAATGGCGGCTCATTAGATATGCAAATGAGACTCAGCGATATTCCACGCTTAGCCTCATTTGCATATTTCTGGAGCAAGAACCCGCCAGTGTAGACATAGCCTGAGAGTGTACATACTGCAGTGCGACTTTTATTGGGAAAATGCTCAGTTTTGGCAACAAGAAACTTTCACCCTCCAAAAGACTTTTTTCTTTTCCTCTCCCTTTAGATGCTATTATTTGTTGTCTACAGACCTGACTTCCACCAGTATCCCACAGTACACAATTGCTCTGCTGTTTTGATTTTTGCTGCCTGGCAGGTATGTACCCCACCCCTTTTTTTTTTTTGGCCTTTTGGGTGTTGTCAACAGAACTTGGTACTGTAGACTTTTTACACCCAAAAATTTCATCATCTGCCCAGCTACAATAAAGTTGTTTATACAAACGTGTTGCAATGGTGGAAAAAAAAATTGTGCATTTGAAAACTATAGGTACTGAGAGTACTTTTTTTTTTTTTTTAAAGAGGCGAACACTGGTGTAGACATAGCCTTTGACTCTCTGTTTTTCCTGTTTGCCTAACTCTCTGTACTGCAGCTCTCTTCTCTTTTCCAGGACTTCCTCTGGGACTTGCTGCACTATCTGCTGTCTTCTCTTCTTCCCACTTGTTAATTCTCAGTTGAGGCACCCAGGCCTAACTCCAGTTACTCACATTCTTGCCATGTGATGTAACTAACATTCTGCTTGAGACTTGATGCTGGTGCTCATTTGCACCCTCCCGTTAATTAGTGTTGTTAGCTATTTACTCTGGTACAGATATCCCCACTGAGTGGGATTGGAGGTGTGGGTGCTGTCTGCCACAAAGCATGACAGGGATGAGACATTCAGTATTGAGCACACAGTGGGCCTAATTCTGGGACCACATTTTGACTTAAGACACTATTACAAAGTCAGTGACTGTAGTGCTACCTATGAAGGCGGTTACTTCCTGCAGCCTGAACAGCACTTTGGCATCCTTACATGAAAGGCCTTACACTGGTGTAAGTGCAAAGTGTGCTGGTTTTAGCCCACCCAGATAGTTTTCTCTGGATTTGTTTCAGACCACACTGCCTCACCCTGTAGGACAGCAAAGAACTCCTGATTAAAAAATGACATTACAGTGCTTGTGACAGTGTGCAGGGATCATGAGACAGATCTATAGTGGCTCTTGCTGATTTCTTCACTGGCAGTTCCTTCCTTCTCAGATAACAGGGTATTTTATGCATAACTTCTTGTGTTGAATGTATGTGCTTTGCAAGGGTATTAAAGCAGAGAATTTTATGTATAACCTCTTGTGTTGAATCTATGTGCTTTGCAAGGGTATTAAAGCAGAGAGTTGTCCTGCATATAAGCCCTGGGACCCCAGGACTCAGGGCATGAGAACCTGAAAAGTTCTGCATATAAGCTCTGGGATCCCAGGACTCAGGGCATGAGAACCTGAAGGTCCAGATGCTTGGATAGAACATGGTTAGGTGAATCAGAGGCACCCTGAAATCTGTGCCCTTGCCCAGGGATGTAAAAGCCAATTTAATCAGTTAACTGGTTAAATGTTCAATGTCCGCGCTGGCTGGGGTGGAGCAGCCTCCCCTGCCTGCCATGGCCAGGTTGGAGTGCCCCATCCATGTTCTGGCTGGGCCCAACCTGAGTGGGGGCTGCTCTGGTAGCTCCTGCTCATGGCACACCATGGCACACTATGTTGGGCCCACTGCGGACAGGGCTGCTCTGGCCAGGTTGGAGTAACCCTGTCCATGGCACAGTGGGCTGGAGCAGCTCCCTTCCCACCAGTCCTCACTGGTTAACCATAATAGGTATGTATCATCCAGTAAGGGTGATGCTCACTTGTTAGGTATTCGCATCCCTACCTTGCAATGGTCTTGCTGTCTGGGGACCTTGCTATACCCACACTCCGTCAGTCATCAGCTCTCCCCAGATCACTGTGTGCGTTACTAACTGCTTCTGTGCTTGCGGGTCACAGCAGAAATGCAATTCCCCGTTTTTCGCCTGGTCTGGAATCTTGGGTTGTGGCTCCATCTGTTGACTTCATAGTTCACATAGCAAAAGTGGAAGGGTCACCAAGACACAAACAGGTGAAGGAGGTGGAGACTGAAGGTCAGCCAGATGGGAGCAGAGAGGTGGCACCCTGGGTATGGAGAGGCAATGAATGGGAACTCAAGACAAAGGGACCAAGAGAACAAGACTGGCCCCATCATCTCTGTAATGGCCTGCTACAGGCTGGCATGCCCTTTAAGGAGAGTCAGCCTCTGCCTTGCCTGTTACCTAGCAGTTAATCCTCTGCAGATCATGATCTGGTAGGTTAATCACCATTAATGATCCCAGCTGGGAAAACGTCAGGGAGGACTATAGAGAGAGAGAACATTGCCAGAGCTCTGTGTGGGAGTTGGTGTTGATTTGTTAGCTGGAAGGACAAAGAACTGCAAAGAGATGACTTGGCTGCAAGGCTGGGCCATGGGAGATGAAGACAGAAATAGGCCATTGTAGGACCGAAGTGGCCAACTGGGCTAGAGATGAAGCCCACTCTTCCTCCCACAAATGCCACATACTGATGCCAAAGGGCACTACAATATTGAGTGGAATATCTCAAATGGACAGATCGCAAAGTTCATGGGTGGCTGGAGTCAGACTTTTTAGAGATTAGTTCTGATCCCAATCTCAGACATTAACCTGGATACAGCCTCACTTCACTACTTATTGGGATGATTCATATTTTGATAATACCCCTATTTTTCAGATGCGTTGTCAATGTTCTCACTGAAACAGTCTTTTCTACAGTTCTCCTTTAAGATTTTAGTGATATTTGTGTTGGACTATAAATGCACTTTTCGATAAAATTATTCATGGCCTGACTGGATTTTGTACATTTTTTATCCTCCTCCCCCCCCATGTACAATAGCTGTATATTTTTATCCTCCTCCTCCCCCCCATGTACAATAGCTGTATATTTTGTTGTAGCAGTATAAATATATTCAACTGGTGTTACTCTTTTATATATGTTCCTAGAAAATTTTGTATCAGTTTGACAGATTTCTTATCTGAATGCTTAGCTCTAATTATATTATTTTCAGCTCACTTGGTTTTTTTAGGGACACTCAGCCCTGTGACTCAGTGCATCCTTCCAGTAATGCAGCACTGCATGCAGATCAAATGTCTTTCACATATTCAATATACCCCCATTTACTCTGGACTAAATCCTACCAAATAGACCTAGCCTGAAGTCAGAGGGCAGTGAAGCTTTTGTACTGCCCCAAGGATAGCACTGGAAACACTGCAACTCAGAGACTGCCTAACAGGACTTTGTACTGGGGGGGCAGAGGTTGTTGATGGGGAGGTTTTAGGGACACTCAGCCCTATGACTCAGTGCATCCTTCCAGCGATGCAGCACTGCATGCAGATCAAATGTCTTTCACATATTCAATATACCCCCATTTACTCTGGACTAAATCCTACCAAATAGACCTAGCCTGAAGTCAGAGGGCAGTGAAGCTTTTGTACTGCCCCAAGGATAGCACTGGAAACACTGCAGCTCAGAGAGACTGCCTAACAGGACTTTGTGCTGGGGGGGGGGCAGAGGTTGTTGATGGGGAGGAAGGAAATGTGCAATCCCCCTTTTCAGGATGCAGCACCCCCTTTGCACACACCTCTGCATAAAACTGACCTTTATTTTTTTTGTAAAAAATGAAACTTTTAACCCATATTTAACCTATAGGCACTCTTAAAAAGCTGGTACCCCTAGGCATCTGTCTACTGTGCTCATTTGGAAATCTGGCCCTGCTTAGATCCTCAGAGCCCTAACTATTAATCCACTTGGTTCAAGAGAGATGAACTCTGGCTGTGGGGTGATATTGGTAGTGTGGTAATTTAAGCAGAAGTAGGCATTTAAAACCAATGAAGAATAAAGAATCTGTAGAGGTAAACAGTTGTGGTTATATCTGCAAAGACCCTGCTGGCAGAGCTGTTTAAACCCTGAGGCTACCTCTACACTGCAGGCTTTTTGCGCCAGAATGGCTGTTCTTGTGCAAAAACTTGTGGAGCATCTACACGGCACGTGCGTTCTTGCGCAAGTAAATTTACAGTAAAGCGATGGAAAAGAGGGCTTCCTGCGCAAGCATTATTCCTCTCCTCACGACAAGGCAGAGAGCACGGGCAACAGGGGTTTCTTACGCAAGAAACCCCTAAGGCTAAAATGGCCATCAGAGCTCTCTTGCGCAAGAGAGCATCCACGCTGCCACGGACACTCTTGCGCAAAAGCACATGGCAGAGTGGATTCACTCTTGCGCCAAACAGTTCTTGCACAAGAAGCCAACAGTGTAGATGTAGCCCTAGGGGAAAACAGAGAATTCCCTTTGCTCTCTCCCCCATCTCTTGTACCGTTTCACACCCTCTGCTAGGTGTATTAGAGGGGTTTCAAGAGCCGCTGGAGCGTTGCAAGAGCCAGGCCTAGGATGGACTGTTGGGCTGGCAACTCCCACCCTGAAATCTGGCAGCCTGGAGATTAACGGGGAGAGAGATTTTCAAGGGACCCTTGCGGGACGGGCACGGCTGGGTGCTGACACTGGCCAGGGAAGGCAGGCTGGGCTTCTGGACAGCTGCTTCCACCCCGCAAGGCGGCAGGGGCTGCCCAGCAGACGCTGGCGGCGGTGCTGAAGGCCTGCGGCCCCGGAGCCAGGCACGGAGCCGCACCTCCCTTCCCCGGTATCACCTGGACCGCGAGCCGCCCTGCACCAGCACCTCGCGC